GAAGCAGCTGTCCTCAAGCTGTCCTGTTACTTGCTTTCATCACCAAACCAAACCAAAACCGTGCTGCTCTCCACCGGCATAGCGGGGAATTTGGCAAATATAATAGATTAGCGAGATCAACAAAAGGCCAAATGAGCCGCTGCCTGATCTTGGCCAGCCCTTTCTCCTGTTTTGATATGCAGGATGAGAAGGAAGCTTCCAGCAGTCACTGCTTTCCCCGCCCCGGTCTCCTTCATATTTCATTTATTCCACTTATTAAAACATTGAGCATATGTTTCAATAAAAGGAAACTCGGGTGCATGGAACTGCAGGAAGCCCATCATTCTTAGCTGGACTGCCTTAGTTCACATGGCCAAATTTTCTCCTGCAGTTGACGTTTCGGCAAACAGTTGCATCAATTAGGTATCACAATGGAAAACGTATTGCTTGATCATTTCATTTGGTCGATCTTTTGTTTCTCTGCATGTTAAAAGTAAACGGAGGGACCTTATTCATATTAGGAATATAACTTACCAGAAAGTTCACAAACTCAACAAAAAGACCATGGAAGAAATGATAACTACACACACACACACAACCACACACAACCACACACGGGCACTGTCGCCCTCCTTTTGTGTGGTTTGAAGCACGGTGCAATCTGGGCAGCCTATGTTCTATGAATGAAGCAAGTGGGTTTTGTTGATCCAGATTTAGGGGTTCTTTTGTTGGGCAGTTCAGCCACAGGGTGCATTCACAGAACGTATCTAACCAGATTAGCGAAGAACTAAGCAGGAACTTCCGCAGCCCTGATGAAATTTAATGAGATGCTATTTTTTTTGTGGCTCATTGTGCTGGGTAAACCCGGCCTCGGGGTTTTATTCTGATTTTTGTTTGGGTTTAGAATTCAGTGCATTGTAGGAATCCAGAAAACGCAGGAACCAGCTGTGGGAAAGCACACAGGGGCGAGCTTGCTGTCTCCCCTTTATTTATTATTATTATTATTATTTCCATTCCAGCAAAACTTTGGAAAGAAATGATGTAAAGGGCCTTGGGATCCTGTCTGTCTGTCCATCCCACAACAGGATAATGTTTTGGAAGAAAAGAAAGGAAGAATGGAACTGCCACCAAATTTGACTGGGTGGGAGAAATGAAGGACTGAAGATCAAGCTTGAAAACTGCCAGGAGAAATGCATAGAAAAACATTTTTTAAAATTCTCCTGGGTATCCCTGACCTGAGCAGGATTAGCTCATAAGGCTACTCCAACTGCTCCTGGCTTCTTCCTGCTCACATGACCCAGAGGGAAACTATTATTAAAGAGTGAGAAAGATTCCCCCCCAAAGCTCCCCCTCCCTGGTTAAAACTACCTTTGGGGCCCAGAAGGACTAGGTGTGATTCTCCTTCTGCCAAATAAAATAAAACCTCTCTTCACCTTTTTCCATTATTTATGAGAACACAATCCTGAGCACCCTTCAAACTTCTTAAGGAAAGCAATTTCTTTAGATATCTAATTTAATCTCTTTCTATCCCCCTCTTGACTTCCCACTTGGCATTCCACCATTTCTCCCAGGTGTTCTGGTTCCCTGACATAGTAGCAGTAAAACAGAATTGGAAGGGACCTTGGAAGTCTTCTAGTCCAACCGCCTGCTTCAGCAAGAGACCGTATACCGGGTGTCAGCAACCTGCAGCTCTGGAGCTGCATGCGGCTCTTTGGGCCCTGTCGGGAGATCCCACCACTGGCTGGCTCCACCTCTCATCCTCCCCTCCCAGTCACTCCTTGCCTGGCCTGAGAAGGTAAGGGCGATGGTGGGGGATGGAGAAACAGCTGGGGCAGAGAGATACAGAGAGAAGGGGGGAGAGAGAGAGACATAGAGAGATACAGAGGGAGAGGGAGGGAGGGAGGGGGGAGAGAGGGAGGGAGGGAGGGAGGGAGGGGAGAGGGAGAAGATGTCAAAAGGGTTTTATGGTTCCCGGTGTTTTTTAACAACCGGTTCTCTGCCTTAATGACCGGCTGAGTAGGCATGACTAGGAGGTCATGTGACTGGTGGAAATGAGTGACATCGAGTTGGCCACGCCCACCCAGGTTTTGTGGCTCCCGGTGTTTTCTTTTCTGTGGGAAATGGGTCCAAATGGCTCTGAGTGTTTTAAGGTTGCAGACCCCTGGCCCATACCATCCAGACAAATGGCTATCTTCTTGAAAACCTCTAGTGTTGGAGCACCTACAACTTCCAGAGGTAGTAAGCCTTTTCACCGATTGTTCTCAGTGTCAGGAAACTTCTCCTTAGTTCTAGGGTTGGATCTCCCCTTGACAGGTTTCCACCTCAGGTGCTTTAGAGAATAGCTGATCCCCTCCTCTCTGTCAGATCCCCTCAAGTACTGGAAGACACTTTTTTTTTTTTAAATTTGATTTATATGCCGCCCTTCTCCGGAGACTCAGGGCGGCTTACAATGCGCTAAGCAATAGCCTTCATCCTTTTGTATATTTATGCAAAGTCAGCTTATTGCCCCCACAACTGGGTCCTCAATTTACCTACCTTAGAAAGGATGGAAGGCTGAGTCAACCTTGAGCCTTGGCGAGATTCGAACCTGCAGTAATTGGAGGCAGCTGGTCTTAATAACAGGATGCTTTAGACCACTGTACTACCAAGTCCTTCTCTTTGATAGACTAGACATAACCAGCTCCTGCAACCATTCATTGTATGTTTTAGCCTCCACAGTTTTATCCAAGACATGTTATTTTAGAATTAGACCATTTGGGACGGTTGAGATATTACCGGCTATACGTCTCACCTGGCTAGGGATGAATATGAATCAAATTAACTAATTTTATTAAATTAATTAAATTAAAAGGCCTTGTATCATCCAGAGAGTTTGCAGAATAAGTAGGGATTTGAACGGGCTTTCCCTATACACCTAAATGGTTTACTTTACAGAACTCGTGCAAACCAGCCTATATAATACATTTTTAGCCCTATATAATATGTTCAGCCTTGTGATTAATTTATGCTTCTGTTGTGCAAATTCAGAATTCAGGAAATTCAATAAATTACAGTTCACTGGGAATATATATTTTTTTTCTAATTATGAGTAAGTTGCTTCTTGCCACTCCTGTTTCGTAGCTTGGTTAGTTGGTTGATTGGCTGACTTACTTACCTTCTATAAAAGAGCTGTATCAAGTGTGGTATTACTAAGGGTTTCACGCAGGAACAAGGAAGAGTTTAGAAGAAATGTATGGAAGAGACTACTTAAATACTCAGTGACTTTTCTTTTCTGGACACCAACTGACAATGACAGAATATGACTAAGGCTATCATTCCTGAATTGATTTATTTTGCAATCTGAAGTCATTGGGCCAGTTGTAAAAGGATTTGGAGAGGACATTCCATCCGTCGCATGGACAGTCAACGTAAGTCACACTTACAGGAAATACAGGATCATATTTCTTCCAGGGTTGAAAGATGCCTTTCGGAGACCCACCCATTCTCACAACCAGTTTGGTCTAGTGGTTAAGGCATCAGGCTGGAAACCAGGAGATGGTGAGTTCTGGTCCCATTTTAGGCATGAAAGCCAGGTTGGATACGTTTGGGCCAGTCACCAGGAGACAGAGACTTCTAGTCCCCACCTTAGGCATGAAAGGCAACTGGGTGACTTTGGGCCAATCACCAGGAGACGGTGAATTCTAGTACTGCCTTAGACACAAAAGCTGGCTGTGTGACTTTGGGCTGGTTACTCTCTCTCAGCCCAACCCACCTCACAGGGGAAAATAGGAGGAAGAAGGAATGTTATCTATGTTCACTGCCTTAAATTACTTATAAAGTAATAGAGTTGGAATAAAAATCAATCAATAGATCAATCAATCAATATACTCTCCTGTTTCTATAAGTTCTCTCTAGTGCTTTTTCCAGATCCCTTCCTTCTCTTCTTATTGGGCAGTGGCAGTCTTAAACACACATGCACAAAATGCACACTATTTTGAAAAAGACATATAGAGATGAATCTGGCAGTTGTGCCAATAAATGGACCGCTTGGCTGGTTAAGGGTCCCAAACTCTTTTTCTCTTCTCGTCTTAGATGTGTTAGAATTTATTTCCTACCCATCCCAGTTCGTACCACTGAATCCAGAAGGCCTCAGGCGGAAGAGGCTGCATTCATCTCCCTCTATTGTGATAGGTAGCCAAAGCTGTGACTACCTCACATGCTTAACCAGATCAAGTGAAGATCTAAGGATGACCCTGGGTGAGGTTCTAGGTCAGGGGTCTCCAACCTTGGCAAGTTTAAGACTTGTGGACTTCGACTCCCAGAATTCCCCAGCCAAGATGGACAAAACCGGACAGCTTTGTTCTAGCTTTTGCATGCTGCATCCCTCCCCACCCCCCACCCCCACACACGCACATCCCTATTCAAATTATTTAAGACCGGATTAATTGTGCAAATCTAAACCATGGTGTGCTTTCCTTAACTTTACTTCCTTTAGCAGACCCTTGGTTTCTCAACCTCACCTGTTGGTGGCCAAAGAAGAAGAAGAAGAAGAAAGGGCATTGGCTCTACTACTGCACCTGCCATCATAAACATTTTTAATACAGAACATAAAATCAGAGGGTTGGAAGGGACCTTATAGGTCATCTAGGCCAACCCCCTGCCCTGTTCCATTCTGGATAAATGGCTCTCAAATTTCTTTTTGAAACCCTCCAGTGATGGAGCAGGAAAGGAAGCACCGGCACCCCCTTTTCGGAGGAAAGACCACGCTCAAGCCATGACCCAACCTCTGGTTCCCCGCGTTGTGTTTGCCTGCAATTCGCACACACACACCCTCCCCCCCATCGGCCAGCCAACGCGCAGCGCTAAACCCGAATCGCAAGCTTGTTTCTCCCATCTTCCATAGCCGGGAACGGGGCTCGGGGGCGTTTCAGGCCGCCAGTGGCAGGCAAGAGACGCCCCATCCCCGATTCCGTCCGCCTTCCCCTTCTTCTTTTTGCCCGGGCCCGGGTTGCAAAGTAGCCGGCGCGCAACAGCCTTTTTACCTGCCTTTCTGCCGTGGATGCCTCCGGTAAGCTCGCTCGCTGGCTGCCGGTGCTCGGATGCCGGAGCTCAGCCGGGGCTCCGGCTTAAAACTGCTGCCGGAGGGCGGAGGCTCTCTGCGAAGGGGCGGGCTTGCCGCAGTCCGCGCAACCAGGCGGTGAAGGTGGGCGGGGGGCTTCTCCGGGCGGAGGAACTGGCCACGCCGTGGATGAGGGCAGCGCCCCCGCAGGGAGCTTCTTCCAGGATACCCAGCAGGCCGGGGGAGATCCAGAGGAAGCAGCTGGAAGAAGGAAGCGCGGAGATGAGAGTGGGTCGACTCCAGATCCTTGGAGATCTCTTTCCGCCGTTTCCCCGAATTTCCGAAGGTGGGACCAGAAGTAAGGGATGGAAGAAGCTTAGGGAAGAGAGAGCCAAGCTAGAACTAAGGGGAAATTTCCTGACAGTCAGAACAATGAACGAGTGGAACGACTTGCCTCCAGAAGTTGTGGATGCTGCTGCATCACTGGAGGCTTTTAAGAAGAGATTGGACAGCCATGGTATAAGGAATCATTGTCTATGGAGATTCTCAATCATCCAGGTCATGGTTGTCCCAAAAGTGTTTTTTCCCCCCCAAAAAAATGGCAACTGGACTTTCTTGGTGTTTTCTTTGAAAATGTTTTGCTTCTCATCCAAGAAGCTTCTTCAGTTCAGTTCAGTTCAATATAAGGACTCTTTCTTTGGGTAGGAGGTTGGACTAGATGATCTCCAAGTTCCCTTCCAACTGTGAATGAATGTCAACACTGTTCCCTCCACCTAGGAGAGCCTGGGTTGGTGATCAGGCTGCAAAGGCTTTGCAGAATATGCCACGAAGGGGCACGAGTCAAACAAACCCCTGGACAGGTTTTTACAGAATTCTACCATACTCCTTCTCCCTCTTTCTCTGTGTTTCATTTTTTTAAACAAACGATGGTAAGTGACGGGCTTTGAAGGGAGAAATAAAACTTGAATGGAGAAGCATCTGCAATGCACTTTTTGGAGAGCAAAAAGTAAAAAAAGCAAGTTTTAAAAAAAGTAAAAAAGCAAGGTGAACAAATGGGAAGCTTTTCATCTGGAGGCTTTTGAGCACAACTGTGGCTTTTGCAATCTGGGTGTGGACTTTTCAAATCAATTTCATGTTTTGACCAGAAAAATCAGCTCCTATCAAATGGAACAAAACCTGTGGAGTCCTATGGGTTGGGGAAAGACACCTGCACACTGCCAAACGAATGAGCCAGGATTGCACTTCCTCTCCATCCAAAGAGGTCAACAACCTATTGTGTGAGTCCAAGAGAGTTTTGGTTCCTAAACTGAGCTTGAAACAAAATATTAAACTTTGCTTTTAAATTCCAATTTCTGCAAGGCTGAGATTAAACAATCTGGGTTGACACATAAGCTAAATGTCTGCAGCCCTTAAGATGCTGTTAGTGATCAGAGAAAGCAAAAAGGTTGAATTGTCACATTGTGTAATATGTGCTCAACATGCTCTTAAGTGTGAATTTTGATTTTCTTCAGTTTCTGCTGGCTTTTAAACAATAGTGCAAAGGTTTACCCCCACCCCCACCCCAAAAGTTGCTATCCAATTCCATGAAGTGAATGGAATTATTTCGGGATGGTTGGTCAGTAGAACAGCAAATATTCATTGCATTATTGTGATACTTCTTTGTAAGCCCATAAGCTCTAAAGCATCTATTTCTCAAAACAATAGCTAGATCTACCAAATATAAGAAGCCAAAACCAGAGCAGCTACATTATAGCTTTAAAAAAATGCTTTGATGAGATGAATCTAGTTTGGATGCAAATGATTCAAACACATTAACTGGGTTAAGAAAAGAGTTAAGTTGTGCAAACACTCCAACCCAGTAATCTCCAGGCTTATGGAGGGTTGGTTGTAATTTCAGCCATGGGCAAGTGAATAGGGATGAAAGTCTATTAGCGGAATACCTTTCTAGTGAATTCCTAGAATGGCCCCATAACAGAGACCCTTCTAGGAACTCTTTCTTTCTCTCTCTTTATTTTACTTTTCACTCCCTGGGTAAAAAAGCCTGCACTCCCTAGTCGCATTGGGGGAAGAGGTGGGGGAGAGCAGGAGCGGGGTCAAAGGGGATGAAGGCAGATAAGTGTCCGGAAGTGCTATCAATAATTGGATCTCTGTGACTTTTAATCATTTTCAACGTATACTTTTGGACCATGGCAGTAGGCGGCCATTATTCTCACTGCCTTTGCCGTGGCTGAACATGTGTTAGGTTATTTGCATTTGATCGAGTCACCTCTGTTCACCTGCTGGGTAAATGTTTATCCCAGGGTCAATATTTATCCCAGGTTAGTGGCAGATGGGGCTACTTGTGTTGTGTGGACCATATAATATGGAACTTCTACTTTTACGTATTTTTCTAGCCACTCACTGCTCTGGTGCTGTGTAGCATCCCTCTGCCAATGGTAGCTGTTCTTGCTTTCTCAGATAAGAGATTAAGAATAAATTTCTGTGGGCCATACACTCCTAAAAGGACATGGGAGCTGTACTAGAAAAAAAGTTAATGGAGAAATAACAGAATAACAGAGTTGGAAGGGATCTTGGAGGTCTTCTAGTCCAACCTTCTGCTCATGCAGGAAACCCTATGTCGTTCTGGACAAATGGCAGCCCAGTCTCTTCTTAAAAGCCTCCAGTGATGAAGCACTCTCAACTCCAGGAGAAAAGCTGTTGCATTCATTAATTTTTCTCACTGTCAGGAAATTCCTCCTTAGTTCTAAATTGGTTCTCTCTTTAGTATTCTTCCACACATTACTTCTTGTCCTGCCCTCTGGTGCTTTGGAGAGTAGGTTGACCCCATCTTCTCTGTGATAGCCTCTCAGATATTGGAAGACTGCTATCATGTCACCCCTGTAGTCCTTCTTTTCACTAGATTAGACATACCCAATTCCTGCAATTGTTCTTTGTATGTTTTAACATCCAGCCCCCTAATCATCATTGTTGCTCTTCTCTGTAGTTTTTCTCTGCACTCTTTAAACATTAATTTCTCTTTAAAGGATCTGTAGCCATTTAGAACAGGCAAAATGACAGAGCAAAGTGGAAGAGAGGCTGCAATACATCACTCAGCATTTAATCAAAATGGAGTAATTCTTACCTCCACCTTCCGACCTACCTTCATTTCAGGTGGAGAAAATGATAGTCACACATATGCATACATGATGCAAACGTAAATGTTCATAATTAGAAAACCTTGTTACTCCCCATCTTTTCATTGTTATTGTCTTAATAAAAGAAGTACAGTACACCAGTTATGTTGCCATAGAAATTTTGATAAAGCTTACTGGGAACCAGGCACTTCAAGGTCGCCCTAATAGGACACCTTTCTTCTATGTTTCTCTTTTGCTAACACGGTTCCATTCCTTTAACAATTTGGTTTCCTCACAAATGATACATTATTGAGGGTGCATTTTATTGGTTTGACCAAACAGAATTCAAGGAGGAAGAAACACATTATTCTAAAGAATGCTTCCTGTGTTCTCACAGGACAGACCTTCTGCTGTTCTTCCTCTGTACTAAAATACAGAACATAAAATCATAGGGTTGGAAGGGACCTTGTAGGTCATCTAGTCCAACCCCCTGCCCATGGCAGGAGACTTTGTTCCATTCTGGATAAATGGCTCTCCAATCTCTCCTTGAAACCTTCCAGTGATGGAGCACCCACAACTTCTGAAATCAAGCCATTTCACTGATTGATTGTTCTCACTGTCAGAAAATGTCTTCCTAATTCTAGGTTGGATCTCCCTTTGATAGTTTTTCCTCTGTTCCTTCTTGTCTTGCCCTCAGGTGCTTTGGAGAATAAGTTGACCCCATGTCAACTCTCTCTTTTCTGTGGCAGCCCCTCAGATATTGAAAGACTGCTATCATGGCACCCCTAGTCCTTCTTTTTTTAAAGTAGACATACCTAGTTCCCTCAATTGTTCATTATATGCTTTAGCTCCCAGGCCCCTAATCATCTTTGTTGCTCTTCTCTGCACTCTTTCTAGGGTCTCAGCCTCTTTTTTGTACTGTGGTGACCAAAATTGGATGCAGTACACCAATGCAGCATAATGTAGTACTACCACTTCACGTGATCTTGAAACTACCTTTCTGTTGATGCAACCTAGGAGTGCATTACCTTTTAACCACAATAAAAATACCTTATGCCACCAGACTCCAAATTTTCGGCTTAGACAACTTAGAACTACGCCAACTTCAGTCTGACCTAAGCATAGTACATAAAATTATCTGCCACAATGTCCTTCCTGTCAACGACTACTTCAGCTTCAACCACAACAATACACCAGCAAATAATAGATACAAACTCAAGGTAAACTGTTCCAAACTCGATTGCAGAAAATATGACTTCAGTAACAGAGTTGTTAATGCCTGGAATGCACTACCTGACTCTGTAGTTTCTTCCCCAAACCCCCAAAACTTTTACCTTAAACTGTCTACTGTTGACCTCACCCCATTCCTAAGAGGTCTGTAAGGGGCGTGCATTAAGTGCACCAGCGTGCCTACCGTCCCTGTCCTAATGTTTTCCTTTTTACTTACTCTTTTCATGTATTCAAATTATGTTTATACTTTTATCTGTTATCTTATATATGCTTGACAAATAAACTTATGATTATGATTATGATATTATTATAGCTACTATAAATTGTGGCATAGGATAGCTGAAATTCTACAGAGCCCTTCCTTCCTTCCTCCCTCCTTCCCTTGCAGCCTCATCAATTTACGAGAATAAATACAATTTTGATTTGAGTTGACAATCTCTGCATGGTTGGCAGTAGATTAGCAAGGCTTTCTGACTTCCAACAGTTCAATAACAGCAAAATGTTTATTTTTGTTGAAAAAGAAGAGAAGATGAAGCAACCAGGAATGGATTGTGAGCTCCCTGCAACTCTGGTGCTGACTGAATTAATTCCAAGGCTCTCAACGCACTCAAATGTTAATCATGGGAATTTTTTTTAAATTCTGCATGCAAATTTGGTTATTCCCCCACAGAGATGATTTTCCTGGAATTAGGACACTGCGTTAGGGTGGAATTCTTAACAGTGAGCAGTGCAGGCGCCATGGCTCAGTGGTTAAAGACGCTGAGCTTTTCAGCTGGAAAGCTGACAGCCTGGTTTGAGTGCCACACAAGAGGTTGAGTTCCTGTTCCTGCCCTAGCTCCTGCCCACCTAGCAGTTCGAAAGCATGCAAACGCAAGTAGGTAAATAGGTACCACTTCGGTGGGAAGGTAACAGCGTTCCGTGTGCCTCTGTATATAGCCATGCCTGTCACATGGACCACAGAAGCATCATTGGACAAGAATTGGAAATGAGTATCATTCAGTGCCACTTGCTATGACATTCTCATGTTTTGGAATATAGGGCTTATAAAATGGCGCATTGCTTTCCAGCAGGGCCAGCTTTTGACTGATGCATCGTTTTAATTACACGGACCTGAAAATTCAGGGAGGAGCTAGAAATCCAGGGAAGCAAGGTCCCATTGGTGCCCATTCTGCCAATCTCAATGGTTGTAAGTGTGAAAAGTCATTTTTATCAGTATCGATGTAACTTCGAGCGGTCACTAAATGAACTGTTGTAAATCAAGGACTACCTGTATACATATCCCGTTTTTGCCCAGTCACCAACTAAGGCTAAGCAGAGAAGGGCTAGGGGGTGTAGAGACTGTCTTTCGGCACTAGGTGGCGCTTGGCTCTTGACTGTATTTTCAAACAATTTCTTCAAGTTGTTTTTCACACTGGTATCATCAGACCAGTTGCATTAAACTGCTGTTTATTATTATTATCAATTAGATTTTATCTCCCCTTTCTTCCTTTGTAAGTATCTCAAGGCAGCAAACACACCTAATACTTGTTCCTCCTCCTATTTTGCCTACAACAACAATCCTATGAGGAAGATTGGGCTGAGAGAGAGAGAGAGAGAGAGAGAGAGAGAGAGAGAGAAAATCACCCAGTCTGTTTTCAAGCCTAAAGCAGGACTAGAACTCACGGTCTCCTGGTTTCTAGGCCAGCGCCTTAAGCACTACATCTTATACTAAAAGCTAGAGTTACGTGTTTTTCTGAGCCCAAGGTGGTGAACATGGGCAACATACAGACCCACAAACACACATTGCACTGAATTGTAATCTCAGAATGGCCAAGCCAGCACCATAAGCCATAAACAAAGATTAATATTAACCAAGTTTAGCATGTGGCAGATATAGGCACTAGATTTTAAATGACCAGTTGGCCATGTAATATAGAGACAGAGCATGAATTGGTGTTCACCTTTCTGGGCAAGTAATAAATGAAAAGGGTTTAGGGGAAATCTGGCTGATACCAAACCTTGCCATTAATCATAGTTACTTTCACTTTCTAAATCATGCAGAATAGTCATTCCCAGTTTCCCTTAACTGTTCACAGTCCTCAACTTACAACCATTTGTTTAGCCACCGTTTGAAGTTAAAACAGCACTGAACTTGCCTACAACTGTCATAGCATCTCCACAGCCATGTGATCAAAACTGAGGTGCTTGGCAACTGGCAGGTGCTTATGACGGTTGCAACATCCCAGAAATCACACGATCGCCATTTGCAACCTTCTTGGCCAGTTTCCAACCGGCAAAGTCGCTTAATGACCAATTAATTCACTTCACAACTGTAGGGATTCGCTTAACAACCGTGGCAGAGTATCCGAACAAGAAGATTCATATAGCTTATGAATGAAATATTTTTAAGTAGTTTATGTTTATAGTTTTTGAGTTATAAGGAGTTAAAGATTTAGGGAGAATATGAATGCAATAATTTGTTAGCATATTTTAGCTTTATGTTTGTGAATGCTATACCCTGTGCCTGTTCTGGGAAGTGTAGGGAGGGGAAGGGGGGGTGGGAGGGGAAGGGGGGGTGGGAGGGAGGGGGGGTGAGGGGGTTGAGGGGGAAAAGGGGGGGGGAGAAAATGTTTGTATTTCCTATAAAACTTTTCAATTAAAAAACAAACAAACAACCGTAGCAGAGATTGTAATTCACTTAACAATCATCCTTTTTGGCAACATAAATTCTGGTTTCGGTCAAAGTCAAAACTACCTGTATTTACTTATTTTCATACTCAAGTTGTTTATGCATTGATTTACACATAGTAAACTCATAGCCCTGCTTCCCTCCGTCCCTACTTTTTCCTCCTGTAACAACAACCCTATGGTGCAGGATGGTCTGAGGAATAATGACTGGCCGAAAATTGTGAGCTTCTTTGATTGTAAATTTGATTATTATATGTCTCTCCCTTCCTTTACAGGCTCAACAAAGGCACAGAATTAGCCACAGTACCTCAATTGATTTAAGTTTTGGACACACTGCCTTATCTTTATTATTGTTGAATTATTAGATTTAGAGATTGCCCGATTCCCCAAAGACCCTGAGCGGCTTACAATACACACAAAGAAAGATCAAATTGAAAACAACATGTGCATCCGGAGAAGTAAAGCAACCAAGCATGCCCGAAGGCTAGCCAACGAAATAATCATCAAAGGCTTGGCATCCATCCTATTTCCAGGCAAAGGGCTGATTTTGGATTCAATTTCCAGCAGTATTACAGATTTGTAGGCTGTAGCAATGGAAGTAAACCGACCCAGTGACTTAAGCAGCATTGCTGGGTTAAATAGGCCGATAGACAGCTTCATGTATTTTGGGAAAATAGTCCTTCCTCCATCATGGTGCTCATGGTAAATCATGGTGAGAGAGCCTTGGTGGCGCAGCAGACTAAAGTGCTGTTAAGTAGCACCAGCTGCCTGCAATTACTGCAAGTTCAAATCTCACCAGGCTCAAGGTTGACTCAGCCTTCCATCCTTTCGAGGTAGGTAAAATGAGGACCCGGATTGTGGGGGCAATAAGCTGACTTTGTATAAAATAGAACACCTCTTAGGGGGGCCCGAAAGCCCTACTAAGCAGGTATATACAAAAAAGTATGAAGGCTATTGCTTAACGCATTGTAAGCCGCCCTGAGTCTCCAGAGAAGGGCGGCATATAAATCGAACCAATAAATAAATAAATTGTAGTCATAAGCCAAGGATAACCTACACCAGCATGGGGGTGACCTCACACATGACCTTGGATCGGGTCACTCAAAATTCATGTCATTGTCTTCTGCCTAGCCTACTACCCCTAGGGAGAGACTGATTGGAACCAAGTCTGGGAAAGTTTACACTAACAACATCTTATGAGCGCTACAAAGTTTGACAAGGAAGTCCATTGTTGACTGATGGGTCTCTTGCCCTTCCTTGATTGTGCGAGGGGGGCTGGCTTCACACCACAATCCATGGAGGCCCCCTGCTCATGAATTCAGAAACTTCTATTACGTTACCATAACTTGTTGCATAACATTTAGGTAAGTGGCACCGAACCAAATTCTACTCCAGAATTAAAGCAGGAAACGGAAAACTGATTTAAAGAGAACTGGTGGCTTTGATTGTTTTCCATACGATACATAAATATTTGTCCCACTGTAGAAACCCAATGGTACTTATTTATTAGAGACAAAACGAGAATAAAACAACAGACAATGCTCACACAGTGTTGTTAAACACGGGTCAGGTCAAGATCTAGAAGTTGCATCCACAAACCCAGCTTTTTGTTTCGTGTCGCAGAAGCCCACGATCCAGTTGATCTCTTTGTGCTTTCTTGTATTCTGCAAATCCAGAAAACGGATTGTATCAATTGATTGGATAGTGATGTTTTGTGAATTTAGCCAAAAGGAGCACTGAACAGAAGCCATCTCTTAAACCTCAACAAATATATCATATATGCTGCACTTAATATTTATAAACATATACATTTATGTTATATAAGCCAGTTTGGTATAGTGATTAAGGCATCAGCCTAAAAACCTGGAGACTGTGAGTTCTAGTTTCACCTTGGGCACAAGTACAGCTGGGTGACCTTGGGCCACTCACTCTCAGCCCTAGGAGGGAGGCAATGGCAGCCCACTTCTGAAAACTTTTTTCATGAAAACTAAGTGGATTTGTTCACGCACTCTTTGACAACTGCACACAGATAAATACAAGGATTTATGTGTGTGTTTGTGGGTGGGTAGGTGGGTTTGGGTGTATCTGTAACGAAACAGATACAGATTTCTTTCCCAAATAAATATAGGGAAAGCTGAGTTGTCTTTCTCCTTAACTGAAAATATTTTGGATTACAAACAGAATTGGCAGTAGCCCCAAATTTCCTTTTTATGACTCCCCACACAAAACTAACTGCTGAAATTCAATAGCAACTGTCCAGTTTTGGGCAGCATATTTTTTTCCCCTCTTGAAAATATATCATTAAGCTTTAAAATGGGATATGAACCCTATAATATGGGTAGGGAGTGATGGTAGTGACAGAAGGAGAAGAAGCATTTGGAGGCAGTTAGGATATTACCCAAATGCTGGTTCTCCTTCACCAGTACCATCACTGCACCCCATTATCCCTTGTGGCTCAAGCAAGCCTCAAGCAAGCATTTATCTGCTGCTAACCTAATATGGTTTATTCTGGCTTCAGAGGATTCCAAGCATTCCAATATCACTTGAATAAAAACAAATAGGGTTTTTTGTATTTATAATATTATTGTTTATAACAGCATGCTGGCTTTCCTCCAAAGTTCTGTTTAGCCATCAATATGCTACATTCAAACAACAGCTTGACACATTTTTGAACAAAATGTGTTTTGGTTGAACACCAAACCATATGCTAACTGAATAGGCTGGATTTGCACAATGTACAAAGCCACAAGGCTAGTACTAAGTTGTGATTGCAAATGTTGTCGCTAGGTATTTAAAATGCTTGACCTGGTTAAACTTATACAAGCAGAGCCAGAGGAGATTGGCTCCAAAACACCTTTTGAGCTTCATGTCTGAATGAAGCTGTGATGCCTCTGGCCCCATTGAAGGCTTAATTTTACACATTTAAACTTTTCTGACCTACAACAGTTCTTGATGAAAAATACAGATGAGGGTTGAGACAAAGGCCATATTAAGTACGGTGCAAAAGTAAATGTGGAAAAATGTCCATAGAGATTCTCAATCATCCTGGTCATGATTGTCTCAAAGATGCTTTTTCCAAAATTAACTGAAAAAACTTTTTGGATGAGAAGCAAAATGTTTTCAAAGGGAAAATAAACCAAGAAAGTCCAATTGCCTTTTGGAAAAAGCACCTTTGGGACATAAATATGGAAAAACACTTTGAGGAAACACATTTCACATCTTTGCTCAGTTAAATGCTTTAGCCTCATTGAAATTTTGATTGTGTTGCCAATTTGACTGATTGTATCTGTAAAGCTTTTTCTAGGACGCATCTTTTGAATCTCCAAATATGTGAGGCTCTTCATAATGGCAGATCCAATTCCTGCCTGCAGAATAAAATTGACTGGAACAGTAAGCAGGGTTCAACGTTTCCTACATATCTTTCTTGGTGCCTACCAAGTTCCCTGTCCTGCTCTATATTAAATAAAATGGTTTTCATAAAACGGATTGACTTGGAAAGTGATATGCTGCAAAGATAAAGCAACAGCTTCTTAAAGCAATGATTTTGGTACCTCCAAAAGTCCAGCTTGGTATCCAAGAATATGCAGAAAGACTGGCTTGCCTTCCTTAAATCAGGGGTGGGGAACCGTGGCCCATTTTGGACTTGTGGATTTCAACTCCCATGAGTGTGGCTGGCTCAGGAATTCTGGGAGTTGAAGTCCACAAGTCATAAAAGGGTTTAAGTAGAGATTTTGTTACTAGTGGTGGCCATTAGGTCAGCCATTTTGAGCAGCAACTCTTATGGCCAGTGTTTGGCAATGAGACCTCACCAAACGTTCCCAAATTCCCATTAGGAGCCCTAATTCCTAATGATTGTCTACTTTGAAAAAGCTCATTAGTGAGGAAACTGCTTTGAACCATTTTCTTGATGGGTTAACCTGCAGATGTATGGCTGCTTTCCAAATCTTTTAAACACTCAGCTCCACATCTGTAGCCAGAAATTGTACTAACTAGGAAAATCTCTATTTTACTAAACATATACACTATTCTTAGTCATGCTTAATCATGGCTAGGACTTGCATCTTGACATATTTATGCTGAACTGTAATAAGAAGGTATGTAAATCTCAAATAAATCTGTTGCCCAAGATAAATTATCAAAATCACAGTCTTTTGATTCATGATTATGTTTTTCTTTTAAGGTTTGAAGCAAAAAAAAGAACCATGTCATTGTAAATTAACCATGAAACTTTTACAATAAACACACAGAAAAAAATAAAAAATTTAAAGAAAATTAGATTATTGTTGAAATCGTGCACACAAGTAGTTTAATGCCCAAGAAGCACTAAAAGGCAAGACAAGAAACAATGAATGGAACTAAACAAGGAGAAAAGCAACCTAGAACTAAGGAGAAATTTCCTGATGGCGAGAACTATCAACCCATGGAACAGAAGTTGCCTTCAGAAGTTGTGGGAGCTCCATCACTGGAGGCTTTCAAGAAGAGACTGGACTGCCATCTGTCAAGAATGGTGTATGGCCTCCTGCTTGATCAGGGGGTTGGATTAGAAGACCTCCAAGTCCCTTCCAACTCTATTATTCTAGGTTCTATGGTTAATTCTGAACCTAAGAAACCAGACATTACTATATTGTGATAAAAAGAAGCATTTGTTAGCTTCAGTAATATTTTTTATTTTCCTGTTTTGGAACCACCACAAATCTAGCAACTATTTTTTTTAAAAAAACATGACAGACAGAAAAAATAGTTTTCCACGGATAGATTGTGGGAGGACACTTATTTGCAATGAACTGATTCCTGATTTCTCATACGTAAGTTATAGAACTGTTATTTTACGAGGATTTTACGCTAATGTAGAATCTAAACACGGGATTATTTGCTATGAGTTGCTTTGCAATTAGGTAGATTTGAAATAAAAGTAAATAAATAATAAGTAAATAAGGTAAACTACAAAAATAACTTTGTAGGACAGGAGTGACTCTGAAGTAATGGGGAAATGGGGAAACAATGTTCATACAATATGTTCTCCATATCCTAGAAATATTTGTCACACCTATCCTTTTAAAAAATCTGCTTCTTTGTTTTGTTCTGAGGATTAATATTGAAACGTATTTCAAAGCTGCTCATCCAGTTAATCTGATTTTGAATCAACAGCTATTCTTCCAAAGGAAACCTTGTGAATTTATTGTGTGCTGGGGGTGTTATATCACACCAGCTGGGTCAACTATCTCATTCAGTGAGCATGCAATGGCCAAACCTTCTCCCTATCTCTGTTTTCCCCTGGATAGTTTTTAATATTTCTAGGGAATGAGGGTGGGGCAGGGTTAACAAATACTGTTAAATGTTTCAAAATTTCTGTGCAAGCAGTTTGGCTTTTAAAATGTGCATTGCTTACAAAAGTGATGAAATTAAACAGGGTTTTTCTCTCCACATTATGATACTGATTATGAAATGGGTTCGTTGATAAGACGAAGGCTGGGAAACTGAGTAGGGAATGGGTGAAATTCTAATGGAAGAACATTCAGAAAGTCCTAGGCAGCATCATCAAAGGGATGGCATCAAGATCATGAGAAGTGATGCTACCGTCCTGCACTGCACTAGTGTGGCCACACTTGGAATATTGCATCCAGTTTTGGTCACCTTATTATAAAAAAGATGTGGAGACTCTGGAAAGAGTGCAGAGAAGAGCAACAAAGATGATTAGGGGACTGGAGGCTAAAACATATGAAGAATGGTTGCAGGAACTGGGTATGTCTAGTCTAACGCAGAGAAGGACTGGGGGGCACATGATAGCAGTCTTCCACTATTTAACAGGCTGTCACAAAGAAGACAGGGTGGGTTTCCAAAGCACCTGAAGGCAGGACAGAAGTAACAGATGGAAACGTATCAAGGAGAGATACAATTTAGAACTAAGGAGGAATTTCCTGATGGTTATAACAATTAATCAATGGAACAGCTTGCCTCCCAGAATCGTGGGTGCTCCACTGCTGGATGTTTTCAAGAAAAGATTGGACAATCATTTGTCCGAGATGGTATAAGGTCTCCTGCCTTGAACAGGGGTTGGACTAGAAGACCTCTGAGTTCCCTTCCAGCCCTATGATCATTCTGTGTTCTAAGTACTGAACTGCTTAATTTTTGAGCCGCCATCTGATGAGATTCCTTTGCTTCTACCTTAGTGCAATATGCTAAGCCACCATTATGGCTTAATATCGTACACAATGCCATACACTGTTTTTATTTTAATTTTTCACCTGCATAAAGGAAAAAAAATATATGCAAAACCAACAACTGTAGCATGCAAACAATCTGTCTAAAATCTGTAAGGGAAGTGGCCATGACAATAAAAGATGGAGAGGTTAAAAAGCTGGCCTGCTGCAAAATTGGGATCTGCACTGTATTATCTAAAAAGCTGTATGGATAAGCTGTGCCAAGAAATGCTGTAAAATTAGTAATTGGAGTCTTTTTCCCTGGGCCGTTCCAATCAAAACACTGAGCTGCAGCCAAATGCCATTTTTATTACCTACATTGTGCGAGGGGGCCCATATGAGGTTTAAAGGCATTTTGGAAATAAACATGATACTGGATTTCTGATTTAAAAAGTAATGTTAAAAGATGATTTTAAAGACATGCTCATAGTCCTTAGAACATGTTTCATACTTGTATTGTTATTTGCTACTTAGGTTGGTTGATAGATAGATAGATAGATAGATAGATAGATAGATGGATGCATACATACATGCATACATGCACATACATACATACATACATACATACATACATACATACATACATACATTGATATAGCCACCCATCTTTTAGCCAACTCTTGGAGGCTGCCAATTGAACATTAAATTCCTTGTGTGTCCAATCACACCTGGCCAATAAAAAATTCTATTCTATTCTATTCTATTCTATTCTATTCTATTCTATTCTATTCTATTCTATTCTATTCTATTCTATTCTATTCTATTCTAATTACTCGCACAGTTAGGAACTTTCTTCTTAATTCCAGATTGCTTCTCTCCTTGATGAGTTTCCATCATCAGGACCAGCTTCTTGTCCTACCCTCAAGTGCTTTGGAGAATAGCTTGACTCCCTCTTCTTTGTGGCAGCCCCTGAGAGATTGGAAGACTGCTATCATGTCGCCCCTGGTCCTTCTTTTCATTAGACTAGACACACCCAATTCCTGCAACCGTTCTTCATATGTTTTAGCCTCCAGACCCATCTATTGCCAAGCTCAACCACAGAGATAAAAAGTCTTTAATGATATTTTATTGGGAAATACGGGAACGTTCTGAAATTATTTTTCCTACATAATGAAAATACAGCAACAAGTGTACAAGAAAGCCTCGATTTTCATCTAAATTTTCTTGGGCAGCTATTCCTGTATTGTGTCTAGAACTGCATAAAAAACTCCTTGTTTAGCCCTTATTTTTTAATCTACATTTTTGCTGATGAAATCATTATTGTAACGGTAACTTCATCAGTATGACAGGAAGCCTGATTCAGCCTAGACCACAATTTGTATATGCCAAAAGTATAATTTAGTTGTTCATCCAAGGAAGTCCAGGAGAAAAAGGGTCTTGCCGTCAGGAAAAACTGAAACATCCCACATTGGCAACTTCACACACCAGCATTTGCTAGAAAGAAATCCTGGTGAATCTCTAAAAAGGGCAAACCTTTCATATCTACTCTTCTAAAGTTTTACCCACGTCAGTCCTTGGGTTTCTCTTGTATCATTGTGATAGAAGTCACAAAGCAATGCTTTCTAGAAAGGCACAGAACATTGCCAAATGTGGTTGATGCATCTAATGGACAGTGATTGCACATCTGTTTGAGGTTAGCTGAGATTTGAAGATAAATTGTTTGGCTAACTGAAACATCTCTGACTTAAAACTGTAGAATAAACAACGAGAGATACCCCACTTCCCACAAATGTTTTCAATACTACTTATGAAAAAGGTCAGCGTACAAGGAACAGATAAAGCAGATTTTAAAATGTTAGAATTACGGAATTTTCAAGAGAAATAAGAGAGCCTGCAACTGGCAGATGTTGATAACACAAGGAGTAAGGTACGTATGTCATGTCCACAATTAAAGTTTGTTATCAACTAAGAGTCAAGGATAGTTTCCTAAATACTGCTGGACAAAATCATAGTCAAAACAGTGGTTTGCGTAGCTATTCTGAGACCGTATCGATGCAGGAAATCCATTGTGCAGCATGCAGCATTTTTTAAAAAGGGGTGGGGCTTTGATGGCATGACTATAGCTGCCATTCTTTAACCTGTCCCTGTGGACATTCCTGTCAGCATCCCTAATGGGTGGTCACCCAACTTCAAACGGAAAAGTCCAGCCAGGTAGACCAAACAGGAAATATAACCAGTTGAGCTAATTCTATTTTATCTAAGGCTCATTGAAGAATCTTCCAAGTTTGAAGATATGAATTTTCCCATCCTCACTTTTACTTTTAAGTGGTGTAGGGTCTCCTGCATGGGCAGTGGGGGGTTAGACTAGATGACCTACAAAGTCCCTTCCAAATCTGTTACTCTATTCTATACTTGTCTCATTAATTGGGAGAGGGGTCTGTCAGGTGCAGACGGAGAGGAGTACCTCTCTCTAGAGTTGGACATGACTGGGCAGGGGAAAATCTTTATCCTTTACCTTTTAGGTCCTTTTTACATTTGCCGCAACAAAAGAGCATAGGCATTCCCCTGGAAATTTAATATGAATTCACATTGCACCTCAATAATCTCCAAATTGGTGGCTTCTGGATGTTTTGGACTGCACACCTGATCCCAATGGCCATGTTGACTTAAGATGATCATTCTAGACAAAGGTCCAGGATAGAGCTACATTGATTAAAGCATATACAGTACTTTATGATGGAGAAAATAGGCAGTGAAGTTTGGCCAATCCTCTCTATCAGCCATTTTACGTAAGAACGTAAAAAAAATCCCATTCCAATTGCACAGGCAATGTCTAAGTCACCCTGTAATGTGTCAGAGGGATGAAAACAGGGCAGCAATCTAGAATGGTAAACTGTTCCAGAACAGGCGTATTTTAAACTAAAGAGTTTATAGCTGAAACACTTGGCGGCATTGTTGGATTTTATTGCTTATTTCCGATCTGCTTTTTGTAAAAACAGAACCAAGGAAATTATTAGTTGCCCACAAATGTACTTTATTCTAATCGGTTTCATCACTACCAAGCGCTATAAAATTTCCATGACTCTATTCCCAATTCAGAAGAGATACTAAAGAAACACATAATTTAGAACTACGTAATCTGTGATATTTTCAGAAGTTCTCTTTCCATAATGAAGTTGGATGATATCAAACACTTTTATCTCTGCAACACAGAGCATCTCATAGGGCATTTCCCGGGCAGATACAGACAGACACATCCGAAAAAATGTTCTTACCACACACACCCATTTTGTTATTTGTTCCTTGTCAATGTTCATTCTGGGAAGAGCAGATACAGCAAACGTTTGCATCACTGGATGATCCTGAATCCGGTTCACCTCAACTCTCAGTTTCTTCACACTTAATTTTATGTTTCAAATCAATATAAAATGAAAAATTTAAGTTAGAATAAAATAGAATAGAATAACTCTATTCTCTCTTTGAATGTACACTAATCAGCAAAATTAAAATGAAATTTCATTGCATACAACTCTCAAAGGGTCACCACCCCCAATATACACTACATAACCATGACAGAATAAATAAATACAAAATTATGCATATACATATTATGTGACACAGAGAAACAACAGAGTCTAGTTCGGATGTATACATGTACAAGTTGCTTGAAACTTACATTTTCCTGAATTTATTTTATATTTATTTTTTATGGCCATCCATCTCAGTTATATGACTCCGGGCAGCTAACAAAGACAGAATAAAAACAATATAATGAATTTACAAAGAACATAAACAGCAGCCAGGAAAACAACTACCAGGAACAATTAAAAATTAATACAATCATGAAATGGGCTGACCCACATCTCCAGGACCAAAACTACATGTTCAGATATATGGAAGGCCTGCAGCTTGTTTTCCAGAGAAATGATGGCCAGGATCTCTTACTGGATCTTGCCAGACGGACAGGTAAAGGTGTCCCTGCGGATTTAATTCTGCAAGTCGTTGCCAACTGTAGGGGGCGGTGCTCATCTCCATTTCAAGGCCATTTGAGCCAGCACTGTCTGAAGACATTTCCATGGTCATGTGGCCAGCATGACATCACAGAGCACTGTTACCTTCCCACCAAAATGGTACCTATTTATCTACTCGCAACTGCTAGGTTGGCAGGAGCTAGGACAAGGACAACAGTCTCAAACCTGGGCTGCCAGCTTTCTAGCCAACAAGCCCAGTGTCTTAAACGCTGAGCCACCACGACGCCCACAGATGGACAGGACCCAAAACATATTTCTCCTGCCAGATTTAATAGGATGTGTAGATACATTTAGAGAGAGAGATGGTCTCATAAGTAATCCAGTCCCAAGCTATATGCAACATTAATACAATCAGTAAAGAATCAATGAATATATGAGGGTTAAACTGGTTATGATGTAGAAGTTGCATCAACATATCTTTCAATATTTGTAACTGGAAAGAAACCAGTGCTCAGTTTTTAATCAATTCAGAGTGTTAAAGTGGGGAGGTTAAACTTTTCCTCTACTCACTCTGTTATTGTCTCGATCAAGGTCATAGAGAGAACACAGAATAACAGAGTTGGAAGGGTTCTTGGAGATCTTCTAATCCAATCCCCAGCTCGAGCAGGAGACCCTATACCATTGTAGATAAGTGGCTGTCCAGTCTCTTCTTAAAAGCCTCCAGTGATGAAGCATCCAAAACCTCTGGGGAAAAGTTGAACCACTGATTAATTGTTCCCACTGTTAGGAATTTTCTCCTTAATTTCAGGTTTCTTCTCTCCTTGATTAGTTTCCATTCATTGTTTCTTTTCTGTCTTGCCTTCTGGTGCTTTGAAAAAACAACTTGACCCCCACTTCAAATACTGGAATACTGCTATCATTTCTCCCCCTAGTCCTTCTTCTGAACTAGACTAGTTCATCCGTATTTAATTTAGAAAATATTAGCTAAATTCTGCATTGTGACCTTTGCTTCTAATCTGATGATCCAGTCAAATAATCATTGCAATTTCATAGAAGAGAACAGGATATTGTGCAGGTAACATCCCTACACCCCCAAAATTTGGAGCCATGACTTGCCATTGTATGTGTGCTCAGAGTGACACATCAGCACAGTGAATAGTCTAAAAAGCGGAAGTGGAGGTAGGAAGGGGTACACGAAGAGTTTCCTGAAGCCGTGGCACTGTGTGTTAACTTTTTGTACTTTAACAGAGATTGCACTGGAATGTTAGGATGTTCTCAATTGTTACCAACAGGACTAGTCATGTCATAGGCACTAATTGTATGAGACATGCAGTTTTACTGAAAGAAGTACCAAGATGCTACTTCTCAAACAAATGCCTCTCTCTCCAGCTCTATTGGATTTGAACTCCCATAATTATTATGCACCATCATCATTGGCTTTGCTAGCTAGCGATTCTCAGAGTTATAATCCAGCTCTGAACTAAGGAGAAATACCTTGACAGTGAGAACAATTCATCAATGGCATAATTTGCCTCCTGGAATTGTGGGTACTCCATCGCTGGAGGTTTTCAAGAAGAGACTGGACAGCCATTTGACCTGGATGTTATAAGGTCTGCTGCCTTGGGCACAGGGTTGGGCTAGATGACCTCTTTCCAGCCCTATTATTCAATGTTCTATTAAGCCTCAGAAAGCACATCGCAAGGTGTTCTCTAAGCCATTGGAAATAGACTTAAACACCCAATTTCATCCAGAGTAGGTATAAGAAATAACCGTGTTCTCTTATCAGTGAGACTGCTTCTGAGAAGGGATTAAGGATTCTTATTTAGCTGCCAGTGCTAAGCCCTCTGCCAAGTTTGAGTTGGAGAGTTGACATTTATATTCTCGGCTTCTTTCTTCTGCACCTCTCTCACATTTTCTTATTTCAACAACTCCTTCCCATAGCAGCCAAAGCCAAGGGTCAACCTCCCACCCACCCCCACCCCGATCAACCATCTAATTAGAGACATTCCTGCAATTTCTGGCAGGCAGGAGCCAAGCTGTAGGCTTCTCCGTGCCAGCACATGCTTTTGGAATTATTGACAAAGATAACTATGCCGTTATCCTACCCCAGGATGGTAGCAATTACTAGGAGGCAGAAAAACTAGAATGATTCCAAAGTCCATTGGAGGGGTAAGAAAATTCCTCGTCCTTCTCACCCGAGGAACTGCATTCCTTTCAGGGGGTTAACCAGTTGGAGGCTACATACCAACGGTGCGATGGAATGGAGCCCTCCCTGCACTTTTTCTTACACACACATCCTATTCACACACTTCATTAATCTGCCATCCACTCACACCATACTTTCTGTCTCCACTTCTCACTTTTCTCTTTCTTTCTCTTTTCCTTTCATTTGTATACAGGTGTTCACTCAATTACGACCATTCATTTAGTGACAGTTTGAAATTACAACGGCACTGGAAAATCTGACCGCTTTTCACATTTACGACCATTGCAACATCCCCATAGGCATGTGATCAAAACTCGCTGGGCAACTGACTCATATTTATGACACAGTGTCCCGGGTTCATGTGATCCCATTTTGGGACCTATTGCCAAGCATAGTCAGTGCTTGAAACCAGATTCACTTAACAACTGCAGCGATTTACTTAAGATTTGTGGCAAGAAAGGGCGCAAAATTGGGCAAAACTCACTTAACAACTGTCTTGCTTAGGAATGAAATTTTGGACTCAGTTGTGATCATAAATTGAGGAGTACCTGGACTGTGTCTATTTTTAAAAATTCAAAGTAATTTAGAATAAAAATAATAATTATTGCATGAGAAATTTGGAGGCAGGGGGACAATGCAATAGCCCTCAAAATCTCCCACACAGCAACTAGGTTTTCTGAAAGTATATTTGTACATTTTCCCCCCTAGTATTTCTTCTTAAGGCAATCTGCTATGTTGGGGAATATAAGGAAGGAACACTATGAGGTGGATCTTGCCTGCAGGTTAGCATTTCCCCATTCTGGTTCTATAGTTCTGTATGTGTAAAGAATCAAATAAGCTTCTTTATCAGATCTAAGTTTTTGTTTTAGCATCTAAGCTGCCCTGAGTGTCCAATCTCAAATGAAAAGTGGGATATAGACAGAAGTGTTAACATGCTTAATCAGATCAGTTAAAGGAACTGGAACTGCATGCCTAAATATGCCAGGCTGGATTAATTTTAAGCACAGTGGGGTTTTCTTTACTTTGGTTTTCTTTTATTCATGGCTTAGCATAGTTCAGGGATCAGCAACCTGCGGCTATGGAGCCGCATGTGGCTATTTCACCCCTCTGCTGCGGCTCCCTGTCACTCAAAATATGTGTCACAACCATCAATGTGCAACACCCGCTGGCACATGATTTATTGAGCTTTCCAATCCCTGGTAGGCCAAGAAAAGAAAAGTTTCAGAAGAAAACAGAACATTGAATTCAATTACATATGCTAGTTTTGTGGCTGCTCAAGAAATAGTCAGGCACGGGAAGGGTTTTGTGGCTCCCGGTGTTTTCTTTTCTGTGGGAAACGGGTCCAAATGGCTCTTTGAGTGCTTAAGGTTGCAGACCCCTGGCATAGTTTGTGAATTCAGACTGTTAAGTGCTTTGTGCAAGCCCAGCCAATGAGTTAAATCGGTAACCAGGTTAAAAAGTGTCAATGCAGCCAATAACTTAGCGAACAACTAAGAATATAAACAAACAAAAGCAAAATAAACACCAGTTTTTCTGATACTGTATGGCACAAATGTCTATGGAGATTCTCAATCATCCAGGTCAAAGTTGTCCCAAAGGTGTTTTTCCAAAAGGCAACTTTCTTGGGTCCCTTGAAAACTGAACTGAAGAAACTTCTTGGATGAGAAGCAAAATGTTTGCAAGGAAAAAAACCCCAAGAAAGTCCTGTCATCCTTTGGAACTGTCATCTGGCACATTATTCCAGATAAAATACTGTATGACAAATCTAATTTTTTTTCCCTCCGGAACGAGGGAGCATTCCAGATATTCCTGAGTCAAATGCATTGCAGACTCAGACAGTATCATTAATGGGGAAAGATTCTGACAACTGAAGTTGAGCAACATCTGATGGGATACAGGTCCCCTGTTCCTGGTGTTTAATTGGAACCAGCTCTTGAAGTCAGGGGAGTTTTCCATCACCTGCAGAATGTACAGTCCTTGATTTAAAAACAGATTGTTTTAGTGACTGTTCAAAGTTAGAACGGCAATGAAAAAAGTGACTCATGATCATTTTTCACATATTATTGCAGCATCCCCATGATCACATGAACAAATTTCAGACACTTGGCAACTGGTGCAGTGTCCCCAGGTCAAGTGATTACCTTTAGCGACCTTCTGACCAAGCAAAGTCAATGGGGGAAAGCCAGATTCACTTAACAACCATGTTACTAACTTGCAGTGATTCACTCAGCAGCTGTGACAAAAAAGGTAATAAAATGGGGCAAAATTCACTTAATAAATGTCTCCCTTAGCAACAGAAATTTGGGGCTCAGTTGTGGTCGTAAGTCAAGGACTACCTGTACAGGATGATGGAGAAATCTACTCTTGGGATTCTAAAACACTAATGCTCTCATTATCAGGTTAACATTTCTGATACGGAAAGAAAAACTGTAAAACTCTAGCTTCCTATTTCACTTCCTACATTCCAAGCAATTCTTCAATCTAGCCAGCGTTTCCCAAAGCTCAGGAACTTATCAAAATAATTTACCCAATAAGTTCCGGTCCCTTGGTGACTACTCACTCTGTAATTAGATTCATGACTTGCAACTGACGGGGATCTAAAGTTATGCTTTTCCTCAGTGTCGGTTTTCTTGGTTTATCGTAGTGCTTTTACGCTAGGACTGA